ATTCTTTCCCTGGGGGGGGGAATTGCCCCGCCCCCAGATATATAGTTAAAAAAGGCACTGGACTAAACACTGCAGTCCCCCCAGCCTAGCCCCCTTTCCAGTTTCCATACTGACTGCATGAACACTAAACGTACTGATATTAGTTCTGTGTTTGTGTAATGTACTCAGGTGAATAAGATGCTTGTGATGTTACTCTGAGTGTATATCCACACCGTGCAGGCTTAAAAAATATGCCTGACCACGGTGGGAATCGAACCTACGACCTTTGGAATACTAGCCCAATGCTCTGCCAACTGAGCTACTCGGTCAGGTCGGTTCGAGTATGTGATATTTCGGAACTGAGTCTAGTTCCTTCGATATCAATGTAATCTAGTAATCATGATATTTTCTGTGTTGGTGTAATGTACTCAGGTGAATAAGATGCTTGTGATGTTACTCTGAGTGTATATCCACACCGGGCAGGCTTGAAAAATTTTTCAAGCCTGCCCGGTGTGGATATACACTCACGCCCGTATTCTAAAAGGTCACCGTACACTCACACTCAATGAGTGGAGGTTCAATCTGAGCTTCTCTTGAGTGTCAATGCTGTTTTTGAATAGCTGGAGGGTGAGTAGTCACATAGTAAGGTATGACACTAGCCCTCCAGCTATTCAAAAACAGCCATGACACGCGAGAGAAGCTCAGATTGAACTTCCACTCATTGAGTGTAAGTGTGAGTGACCTTTTAGAATACGGGCGTCAGAGTAACATCACAAGCAACTAAAAGTACTGGTCAAACGCAATCTCGTACCCAAAGTTTAAGGTTACCCGTAAAGGAGTGTTCAGCTCTGGGTATAACCTGTCATTTATCTGACAAAAATTGTAAAAAAAAAAAAATAAATAAATAAAAACAAAAAAAAAACAAAGTATACCCGTTTGCAGGTTAGGGATGGGCATTTAATTGCCTACTCTCATCGACTCTCATCAACGTACTTTGAGATGGTTCAAATTTTGATGAGAGTGGATGAGAGTTTTTGCTCGTTTGATTGGTAATATCCAGCCAACTTTCAGTCAACTCTCACGCAACTCCTGTTCCCCTTTGACCGGACTCACCGGGGCAACTTAATCATTTGTGACCTCGCAAATTTATGGGTCCGGGGACCTGCTTAAGCTCAGATTCCGGCCCGCAAGAGTGCCAAGAATCCTAACGGCTGGAATCCGAGCCATGGCATGCTCCCCCTAAGGCATGTCCCCCAATTATTTCCTGCATTGTGGAGGCACTTAGAGGAGAATGCAAAGTTTTAATAAATCTACACTTGGAAAATGTTGGGAGGGTGCAGTCGCCGCCCCTCGCCCCCCTCCCCTTGACAGCGCCACTAAAATTATGAACGCTCCCTAAAGGTATTTCTACGTTCTGAGCAAAACACCTTGAAGAAGGGTTCTTGATATTCGTACACGACATACGCATTTCAGTTTCTCTACGATAGATCGTTGTGATGCACATATACTAAACATAAAATGTTGGATATATTTTGAATTTCGTACAAAGTCGACTATAATTTACATATTTTAAAATAAAAGCACCAAAATTTGAATTTTGGCTCAACTATTTACAGATTTATATACTATAAAATAAACTACTTTAGCTAAAGCTGCTTTTTTGCGCCAGAGAAATTTCTTTTTGCTCACACATTGACTGTCAGATAAACACTAGAAATTAACGACAATCGATGGATGCACGAAATACTTCCCTGAGAATACTTGAAGACCAAACTATCCTGAAGTCAAAGGTGTGAAACGCTATCTTCAAACTGCTTCTTAAATAAACAACGCTTGACTTCCAGTCCCGTGGACGCAAGTGGATCAGTTTCTCAATGGAGATAGCACTCCAGGTCTTTTGAGTTTAGTCTGTACTACTTCAGTATTATTACAGTTTTTAAAAATGAATAAATATGTTGTACTTTTTCTCACAATGCACAGCATTGTCGTCATTTAGAGTATATATGCATACTAGATTACCGTTTTCTTCACTGCTGTTACGTTATCCTTATAACACTCTAAGTGCCCCTGGTAAATGCCTGAGCCAGTTCAACTCACACTGTATTAGAAAACGATCTCAAAACCACATGGTATAAGAGCATTTATTAATCAGACCATATAGAGACTTATCCAAAATGCTGTTTCTCACAAAATCGTACGGAAGGCTCTTTTGCACTACGAGAGGCTCTTGCGCACCAATTTTCTGACAAACAGTACCGGATTTAAAACTGTTAATTTTAAAATATAATCCTGTGCTCTGATTAAGATATGAACTGAAGGATACACATTGTGATACATAGAAAAGTTACTTAAATGTAAAATATTTAGTTCACTGTTTGCGGACTACACTTCTAAAATAACATATTCGAAGAAAATTGATTTGAGACATATCAACCAGATATTAATTAAATTACATTGGGCTCTTAAAATCCTTTGGTTGCCCTACCTCCCCGCCTAAATATTAGCGTATATGCAATTACACAATGCAATATTCTTTTTATTGCATTGCATTAAATGAATACAACTACCAAGAATCTTTATTATGCAATTGACGATACCGATAAAGATGGCGACGGTATAATTAACCACAATGCTTTGTGGCCTTATATAAGCTCAATGTGATACCACTCCCACGTTTGGGTGATATATTGCTAAATTGTATGTTGGAGCTATTGTCGCATAGTATATGAGGAGAAAATTTCAACATGATTTCTTACACTCGGGGGATTTGAACTCGCAATAATAGCACAATAATTTCACAATCTTGCCATAATATTAAATGCTTGTTGCATGTTTAATGTACATTGTACAAGTCATCTTTTTCGGTACTGGCAATTTGAGACGCATGTTTCACCTTTACCGTTAACCGGCTCTTTTTGCATTCATATAAATATTAAACCACGCACTCAGTATTATTAAACCATGCAGCTCTATTTACAAACTGTTTGTTCTCGTTCAATTTTGCAAGTTGCACACTTTACCTCACAACACCAGAAAAACCGACATCTACATCGTTTTGTAGTAGTGAAAACAATTTTGTTATATCCTCGTCCACAACACAAGGCGTCACAACCATCAGTATCTTTAGATAGATGATCACACAATCTCGCTCTTGTGCCGGCAACTCCTTTGTTTGGAATTGGATCGCAGTAAGTTGGAGATTTATCTAAATACACAAGTTTTTCTTTTCGAGGTTTCACAAATACAGTGCCGGGCAGGATTAGAACTATAGGAGTTTTTCCTTCTCTTGTATCGGTATATGATGGTTCTACTAAGGTCGCCGTCTCATATCTAGCTTTGAGGAAACGTCCAACTCGCTCAAACGACGATGAAAGTATTTCCCAACATGTCTTCGAAGTACATGCTCCGCTCACACCGTGACAGTTACAATGAGGGACAAGGCTTTTACGAACAGCCTGAAACAAAATTGAATTATTGAATCATCAGTAAGATTATTTATATAATAACTACACTGAAACACGAAATTTGATTTCATGGTCATGCAATACCCGTGCAGGACAATCTTGCACGGAAAATTTAAATGCCTTCGCGCAGGCTTTTTAATTAAAGTATGTCGGATAATGAAAACATTTTAACGTGTGAAGTTAACGAGAGACAAGTTAAAAAAAAAGTTAATAAAGTTAATGTTGTTTTTTTACGCTTTCGGAAAGTCTCGATCATTCCTGCACGGAAAACCATGCATTTAGTTTAATATCAGTTAAATATTTTTTCACTATTTTCAAGAACACACTGTTGGAATTTTGAACAACCCTCGAATCCGGATTTCCGACAGAATATAGGACTAACCGGTCTAACCCTTGCCATGGTTTGGCGTAATTTTGAAAAGCAAATTGAAATGAAATGTTGCTCAGTCTATAGCCATGCAGGCTTACATAGTTTCCTCTCCTCAAAGCAAAGAAGAACAACATAAAATTTCGGTAATATGTTTACAAATGTATGGTTATATAGACGGGGAATTAATTCATATATAATAACCGATCACAACGGAAATGCCGGCTACGATTGCAGAGCTGAGAAGTAGGCTAATTAAGTATTTTGGTTTCATAATTTTTTTCTAGATCGAAAATGGGAAATGGTCAGTATAACGGCCCTTAACTGCTTCTTTATATAGAACATCTAAATTATCATTTTTAATAAGTTATTGAATATTGTTTCTGAAGAAGCAAAACGTCCACAAAGGTGCAGCGTCTTGTAGTCACAAAGCGGTCGCTGCAAAAGACTGCCCCGTATTATGTCGGCAAATGATCTATATTGTATATAGTATCAAACAACAAAACTTTCTTTTAGTGATTGTATATCGCTGCGTGGCAACTGCAGGCATCTATGGCCACGATTATACATGATAGGAGACATTATGTCTCTAGTACTTGTAAAGATGTCGGTTGATCAAACGAAATTTGGAAATAATGACTTAATGCACTATTTTATTTTATGTCGAGCAAGCTTCTTTCCACTTTTTTTATATTCATCAGAATTTGAAGAGAAGTCACATGCATGCATGTGTTTATTTCACGACCATTGTATATAGTTTATATATAGTATTGGTACCATACCAAGTGTTAATAAACAGCACTGCATGATACTAATAATCAAAAGGAATGGTTATATCTGTTTTTTGTCAACAACATTTTACTTTACTTACAACAATTAGTGCGAACAAACAGAGTCAAAATGCATTTGTTTTATATAATAATTGAACATGAAAAGGTTTTAAAATTCTATGAAATGATTGCATGCATGCATGGGATAGTGTATTAAACTGAAAGAAGGTAAAATTATTCCTATATGTAGTTATAGTATATTTTTATATTATACATTTCTTTTGTCAACGGTAAATATTTCAAAATTGAACTTATATTCAAAGAGTTCATTTAACTCCGATCGAGTTATTTTGAACCTAATTTTACCCCACATTTGGAGTTAAAAATTACTCGACGGACCGGAGTAAAATTTACTCCATTAAGAAATTAACATGATAGCCTATATATACCTTTCCATTGATATAAAAACTGAAGACACCGACCACTGAAACGACACTGAACTTCATGATCCGTCGTATGTATACCTTCATATTTAAAAAATGAAATAACCGATTTGCTGGATAGGGACAAATCGTTTATTGCATCTGGAATGGAATTTTTGAGATTGACTGCTGTATCGACATCGCTCGACGTCCGTTTACCTCCTTTAGATTGAAACGCATGCATGCATGCAGTCTTAACATGTTTGATAAACGAACTAAAACTAATCTCATTTTCTCATTAATTTA